TAAAGTTTTTGTCTCCTTTTAGTTTTTTCATAGAACTGATGCTGTACAAATATTAATAAATACAATAACTCATTAAAATTCTGTCCATTTCTATGATATCAAAAATAATATGTAGAATGTTAAAATTTTGATATCTAAACATCCTCTAAATAACATATTATGAGTTCATTAGATCACAATTTTCTATATCTTAAAAAAAATTAAACAACATAAAAAGACGTTGAATAAGTTATGAAAAAACGTTAGTGTGTGAAAAAAAAACAAAGTTTCGCACGGTTGGGTATTATTTTGTTGATCGTATTATTTGTTGATACATCAATCAAGATTCAGTTTCATTTGAAGGGTCAACATGATTTCAAACCACTTATTTCACAAATCTTGCGTCTTGAGTTGATGATGATGTTAGCTTCATCTTTCTTCAAGTAGTTACGTGCAGCAAAAGCATTAGCGGTTAATGATTGTCCAAAAAGTATGCGAGAAGATCTTTTGCTATCATCAAGCTAATATTTAACCCACTTGAGCCGGCTTCAACAAAGTTTAATTTTAAGTAGTCTGTCCATGAGATATGAATTATTGACTCTATGAGTACTTATTTTTGATAAATTTAATTCTGATGTTAATGGCTTTTTTAATGGATATCTGATAGTAGAAATATGTCTGATTTGGACAAATTACCTTGTATCCATAAAGAACATTTGAATTGGAAATGCGTGCCTTTCAAATTTGTTCATTTTGTTTCAGATATTTTCTTACACCGATGCAATAAAAATTGTTAGATAACATCAAAGTACATTAAAAAGTCGAACATTTGACCTTAAATAGCTTTTAAAGTGCGACATTTGTTATAGTTAATATCAACACAGTAGGTTATTTTACTTATAATTGATTTCCTACTGCTTATAAAAGAAGCCTGCTTTAATATTTTTTTTATTTATTAAAGTAATTATTTAAATAATCAGCAAATAAATATTAAGAGTTGTAATAAATAAAAAAAAAGAATAAAAATACACCCGGATCAACGAACTAAGAAAATTCAAGAATATATTCATTAAAAAAATTAGAGTAGAGAATGGGTGATTCATTTTACAGAAAAAAAAATTTGATTCATTTGGAAATAAATGATAGAAAATTGCTTATCGAGCAAATATGGTATACAGTTGTTGAGAACATTTTTTTTTCTTTTTGAATAAAGACGTATTACAGATTAAGTTTTTGGGCCATATTCTAAAATATCCATTCCCAAAATCTGGACTAAAATGTTTAAATTTGACAGATTTTTAAATTTTGCAAAATTTTGATCAGGAACCTTGTAAATAGCGATTATTTTTATTTTAATTAGTTAGACCAAATTTGAAATAAGAATCCCAATATTCTTACAAGTTTATGAATGGGACAAGTGGACTTACTAATTAATAATGTATAAAAGAAAATACCTACTTTTACTAAATTAGATGGTTTTGATTGAAACAAAAATTAGCTTCCGGTGGGATGCGCCTCAAAGTGTCAGTTTTTTTTTCCTCAATAAAATGCGTCTGTCTCAACTAAAAGATGTAAATGAGGTGGAATGCGTTCCAAACCACTTACGGCTAGAAAGTTTTTGAATCTCTTTTGAAAAGAAACTTATATTTTAAATGCTGTACAATTGAAGCTAATAATCATTTTAAGCAACATATACCATAACATAACAACAAAAACTCATTTGAAATTAGGAATGGAAAATGATCTTAAGACTTTGATAAAGTTTCCATCATAAAACTTTTTTCTTTTTCAAAAAAAAAAAAAAAATAAGGTACCACGAATTTGGTGAGATTTTTCTTTCCAGATGACAATCATTAAAAACAGTAAATAATTCATTCATTTGATGCTGCAGTAATTTGGAGCAGTGTGGATTTTTTTAATATTTTCGACATTTTTATAATTAGCGGAGGTGATTGAAAAGGTTGGGCAAAATTTAACCAAACAATCATGAATAGTTGATAAAAATTTGAATCAGTTATAAAAATAACATACTATTCACTAAAAAGAGCTGTATCATGAGATGACAGAAACTTTAAGAAAAAAAAAAAGATAACAGCGGTAATGAAAACAACTCACTGAATACAACAGAAGCATACTTTAAAACTCACCTAAGTTGATACGATTCTTACAGAACAAAATGATACTCACAAAATTAACCTTACTAACTGTGAAAAGAAAAACAGAACTATACTGAAACCTTTTTAACGCAGTTTATCTCCACCGTTGTAGAGTAAAAATTCTGTTAGAATCTGAAGTGGAAAATAAAATAAAAATTGGAAAAGGGGAGAATAAAAAAAAAATGCCGAAAGTACTATGTAGAAAATGTAGTAAGGTTCAACCAAGCCCAAAATGCAAGATCAGCAAGAATATCAAGAATCAAGTCATGCAGAAGTCGCGAAGAATTTCTCTCATCCTTCGTTCAAGATGCAAAAAAAAAGAAAGTGCGAACTTTCGTCTCTCCCTCCGTTTTCTTAACATTTCGAATCGTTTTCACATTTTTTCCCTTTTTCATCCGTATTCTTTTTCTTCCTTACGAGAACCTTAAATATACATACACAATCTTAAGATGGATACGAAGGAATATTTATGCATCAAAGAGAATTTTCTAGACTAAATTTGATTTCTTTCTCCTTCAATTATTTATTCAATTGAAAAATAAAATATTCGTTTCGATATTTATTTTGCCATTGTTCTGAGTACGTAAAATGTAAAGACTACTGAAGTTTATTATATTGTAAACAGTTCTTATTGATATTATTAAAATCAAATTTAAAATTTCAACTGTGAAATATAGTTAATAACAGAATTTGCTTTTCAAAAATAATTGATGTTAAATTTTAAGGGTGGGAAACATTAAACATTAAAGTTTCGATGTTTAATTTGCAAAGAAAATGACCTTTTATATGCTTATAAGCATATCGTTCAAATAATACAAACATGCTTTAAAGTCAGATTGCAGTGCAGGAGATATTAAATTTATTAAAAATGCAATGAAACGAACGAAAGTTTGTGAAATATTAATATTTTTGACAGAAATTTTTGTTTTTAAAGTAAAAATTATCAATGGCTTCTAAATTTTTCAGCATTAAAATAAAAAATGTTTTAGCAGAGGACTTAAATCACTGTACGTAATTTATTTCCATGTTACAAATAAGATTAAATTTTTACCAATAACAAGAACTGAAATGACCAATTGTTCTAATACATTTTCCTAGCATAGATATTAATGCTTATTGTAATTCTTTTTTCAATGGGAGAAATGAATTATAACTGTCAAATTATTTATGGATATATCCTTACTTTAATTGCTGTAAAAAAAAAATCACATTTGTGTAATTACGTAGTTTTATACTTCAAATGGCAAAAATATAAAACAACTAAACTAATTTTCTCGTACCCTGTTAAAAACTGGTTTAAACTCTCATCAAATTAGCTTCTTTAATCATAATAATAACTAAATTTTTTGAACTATTTTTCGATTGGAATTGTACTATATTTTCTTATAATCATGCGCAAGATAATAAAATATTCATATCAATATAATATCTTGTTATGAAGCAAAAAATTTACCTGTCTAATATTTTTCACAATTTAAATATCTGAAACGCTGTAAAATGGGATAAAATGGGATTTCAGCTTTATAAATGTATTTAGTTAATATTATAGTATATTCAGTTATATTAGTATTCAGTTAATTTTTAAATTAAAAAGTTTTCGTATAACTTATTTCTCTTAAAATACAGATGAAGCAGACTGCTTCAACATATTAAAAGAAATTTAAAAGTATATTTTTACGATTACATTGCAAAAACGCTTATCCAGTAAAGTTCCTGCAATTTTTTAAACTTTGTTTTTAAACGTTGCTGCATTTAGACTTTTTACTTTAAAAAATTTAAGAATTACATAATAAATACTGAACTTCAAGTTTTGAAGCTTTAACAAATTGGAGTACTTTGTAATTTGAAACAACAAAATTAAATACTTTAAACTAACCATGCATACATCTTATTATCTACTTCATAAACAGCATCAAAACAAGTTTTAAAAAAAGACGTATTGATTCAGTACATTAATGGAATAGGAAATTTGAATATAACTTATACATTACCATTAAGGTATATGAATTTTTAAACCAAAAAAAAAATTGCTCCTGTATTTTTTTTTTGTTAAAAAAAATCAGAATGTGTATTTAATTACAAACTTGAGTATCTGTACACTACATTAAAAACAGGAGTGCTTTAAAATAATAAATCTGAATATCTTAAAGTTAAAAATAATCTCGTTATCTGTTACAAAAATAGTATTGAAACAAGATTAAAAAATGTGATATTAACAGAAACTGAAAAGTGCATTTTGAAAATAACATTTCAAATATGCATTACCATAAGTTTCCGAATTTTTTTTAAAAAAAATGTCTCTCCATTTTGACCTGATTTTTGTTTCCTTAACAAAATTAAAATCCTTATACTTTAAAGCAATAAACTTGAATACTTAAAAAAAAAAAGTCTTATTATCTGTTTCAAAAAACGCTATATTAAAAGAAATGCATTTTGAAAATAACATTCCACTTATGAATAACCATTGAAGTTAATTTTTTGTTGCTGCATTTAGACTTTAAAAATTATTGTGTCTCTTGAAAAAGAAAGTTTACGTGCAAGCGCTACTTTATGTACATCACTTTATCTTCTGGTCAGATATCCTTTGAGAGTATCTGACTTAGTAAGCAGCCAATGCTGTACAGAAAGTAGACTTTGGCATAGCTTAGAGAAGGAGACGACAGTTTTTGATCGACGTTGAGTAATGACACCATGTCGATATATTCTTTCCCCCTCTTTTCTTTTTCTTATTTCTATTTTCATTCCTTTTTTCCGTACTATGTCCGTTGCTATGGATACAGGAGAAGAAAGCTCCATCCGGAGGCTGTCTCCAATGTTTTTCAAATGTTCGATGGCTCCTCAGCTTCCGTCCCTTTTTCCATTCCATACACCTAAACATGGCTTCAAAGTGTTCGATAGTTCCTTAAATGTTCTTCAAGTGTGGAACAAATTTATACGCCAATACTTTTTCGAACAAAGAACTTTCTCATAAGTTTGTCTTTTGAAGAATACAGCATTATAGGTTACTAAATGGTTTCAGTGGAATGACATACTAAAACTTTCATGAGAGCCTGTTCATTTATTTATCACAACATTAAACTGCTCGAACATTTAGTTCAGTTTTTAGTTACAGCAGGCTGTGAACTGATGCTTAAAACTGAAAAAAATGCAAACCTAAGCATTCCAAATGTTTCGTCTTAATCTACCATGATAAATGAACATAAACGATTCTCAGTCTTGTTGGGTTCGTGCATACGAGATCTAAAGCTGTGAATGAAAATACATGACCTTTAGTGCTTTTCATAGTCTTTAACAACAACCAATCAAGATGAATTACGCTTTGGTCTCTCCATGCATATGATGTGGAATGTGATCTGGTAGTACCTGAGGTAATTGTGGAGGCATAGTTGATGCCATCTTATGTTCCTTCTTCCATTTCATTCGCCGGTTCTGGAACCAGATTTTGATCTGTCTTTCGCTCAGACATAGTGCATGGGCAATCTCAATCCGCCTTCGTCTGGTTAAATACCGGTTAAAATGAAACTCTTTCTCGAGCTCCAATGTTTGATACCGGGTGTAGGATGTTCTTTGGCGCTTTGTTTCTCCCATGGAGTTCACACCATCTGAAAAGTAGACAATAAAGCATTATTTCTTATTTTTGTAAAATATTTTATTATACATTATTACTAAATTTATGATAATTGAACTTGCTCGTCGGCAATGAAATCCAACCATACGATATTACAACCAAAATACTTGCAATTATGAGCTGTAATACAATGTCAAGACTTATACACAGTTTACCGAAATGAAACGCTATATTTTTTGATCTAATTCATCTTGTTAATTGCAATACTATATATGTTCAGTATTTTTTTTTTCTTCGTAAAATTTCCAAACACACTAAAAAATTCCTAAAACTTGCGATGCAAAATTAATAACGCTCAGTTTGTCAGTGTATTTTAGACTAATGTATCTACTTTTTCCCGATGATTTACTTGAAAGTTTATCAGGAATGATGTAAACTCTAACTTACAGTAATAATTATTTCAAATTTTACTTCAGTTTTCAAGCATATTTTTTCAATAATAAATCACAAACGATAAATGTATTGAAAATATTGTCTCCGATATAATTTTTATTTTTCATAAACTTTCTTATGAAACCTGTTAAAAAAATTATGAAATATTTTAGAACAATACTCCTATGTAAAATAAGTACTTTGTTAAAAATTTTGAAGAGTATTAAACTATATAATCATTCGAATTTACCTCAACCTTAATATAGTAAGTTTAACCATATTATTGTTATTTCTAAAAATTATTATACGATAATATGGTTAACTTAAATATACATATATATTTCAATCTAACATCTAGTTGAGTTCGTAGAAAATTTGTATCATATAATAATAATAAATTTAACTAATTCTCTCAAAATTGTGCATTAAAATTTATAAAAGCATCTTTTAATGTAATAAAATATACGTACATACTAAAAAACAGCAATTTTGAAGTAATAAATTAAGGAAATAAACCAGATGGAAAAAAAATCATTATTGAACTAGCGTTTCCTGCATATTATTCGGTTGTTCGCGAAGTAATTTTTTTTATGAAAATTAAAGACAATTTTCTGTTATTGAATAAATATTTTACTGGACCATACATTGCCCATTCTTGATCATGACTTTTTGCCATCTTTCTGTCAGTTGCATGATTCCACGTTTATAACATTTTTGTTCTCTTCTGGCAAAAAAACTGATCTAGGTGATTTTTAACCTCCTCATTTGAAGTAAAAGTTTTACCATTAAAAAAAAAGAATTGGTAAAGACCTAAACATAATCATAGACAAGCCCTTTCTTATCCTCAGTGATGATGCTCTTCAAAAATGTCTTGACGTTTGAGGATCAAATCACAGATTTCTTTCCCTGAGAACATGTCCGTGAGAACAAACTATCATGAGCAGTCAAATTCGTTAAATTTAATCTCTCAACGACCTCACGAGTTGTTATTCACCGGTTTGTATAAATTAATGCCTTTATTGTGTCTCACCAGTTGGTGCATCTTAATTGCCATATCGAAATTTTGCAAGAGAGTTTTGACACTGGCGTACTGTCAATACATCTTCAACTTTCATATTAGATAATTTTTGTTTTTACAGTTTTACATTTTCGACAATAAAAAAGTAAGATATGCCAGAAATGCTGCTTTTTGCTTTCCATATTTGAAAGGTCACCAACCAAAAGATAATTGCTTAGAATCCTTCGAAGTTTTCATAAGCTGAGATGATTTTTAATGATTATGTGGTTTAAGTGTGAAAGTGGTTGTGAAAAATTTAATTAGGACTTCTTTTTAAAAATACTAAAATACTTTCCGAAAAAATCAACATAACAATGAAAAATTTACATTTATGCCTAAAATTATTTCAAATCTTATGTTTATTTTGAGCTAAAATTTAATTTTATAATAACTGTCTCTTAAGAAGAGAAACTTAAAACATAAATCAAAGTCTCCTTTTAAAAGTCTTGAAAAACATTTAATGATTTAATCAATATTCTAACGATCGATTGATCTCTCTGCCAGTCCAATAAAATAAAAATTACTTCAACCAAAGAACGCAGTGATGCATCAGAAACGCTGATATTGCAGTTAAAGTCGTTAACATATATTATAATAACGAGTTTTTAATACTTCGCTTACTGAAATTCTCTTTAAAAGCGAACATGGATATTTACATAAACGACTTCTCTAATATATTATTTATTTTGCTTTCTATAGTTTAAGAATTCTATGATGGAATTGGAAAATTATTTTTGATAAGAATAACTTTGTATAGGAATGGCATGTTAGCCACTGTCGTTTTAATCATTTCACACTGTTTCATATTTAAATATTCTTGTAAAATCACTTTATCTAAGAGAAATTTTTGAAAAATAATGCAAACAAGTAGCTTTAAAAAAAATTTTTAAACGCTTATGTGGATTTTTTTAGTTCAAAAATTAAGAATTAAAATTTAAATGGGTATTTACATGGATGTTTGCATAATATAGTACATATTTACATAATAAAGCTTCTCAAATATATTATTCATTTCACTTAATTTAAAAATAACCACGAGTTTTTAATACGTTGATTGCTGAAATTATCTTTAAGAGTGAACAAAATAACACGGATACTTACATAAACGACCAAAAACGTCTCGAATATATTGTTTATTTTGCTTTTTATAATTTAAGAATTACCAGTTAGAATTTGAAAATATGTAAGGAATATTTTTTTCATCATACTTCAGATAACTTTCCTTAGAACTCGCATATTGACCAGAGTCGTGATAATCTTTTCACGCTGTTTAATAATTACGCTGTTTAAAATCGCAATATCTGAGGAAAATTTTTAACAAATAATGCAAAGAAGTAGCTTTAATTTTTTTTCCTTTATAGGCTTTTGTGAACTCTCTATTAGTACAGAAATTAAAAATTCGAATTTTAATGTGCAATTACATGGTCATACAACATAACACATGGTCATACACATTACATAACATGGATGATTACATACATGACCAAAAGCTTCTCAAATATATTATTAATTCCGCTTTCCCTCATTTGAAATTATATGCAATTTAAAAAATAGTTTTTAATACTTCGCTTATTGAAATTCTCTTTAAAAGCGAATTAGTAAAATTGCAATATCTAAAAAATAATTTTACTGGCCTTTTAAATAAAAATGTATTACGCTATTTTATATTTTTCTTTACAGCTTCAACGAGCAGATTTTGCTCCAAACCTATAAAAAACTTATAAAAAAACCCATAAAAAAATAAAATTTCAGAAATTGTTTTTAGTGTCAAAACATTTATGCTTTGTTTACATATTTTGCGTTTTGTTAAAATTTTTATAAACAATTCTGTGTAAAGAAAATGAAAACTACAAAACATTACTTTAAAATAATTGAGAGACAATATTAGACACTAATTAGTAAGTAGTTAATAATAAAATCATTTTGAATAGACAAAAGTCTGTTGCAAAAATGGTAAAAATATTTCTCTTTCAGTCTATAATATTTCTGGAGAAACTTTATAATCTTCATAACGTAGAAAATCTGAAGAAAAATTAATCGATACAGAAAATAAAATTTTAAAAAATGTCAAATGAAATGATTTCTTTTTTAATCGTGTATTACATTTGATGCTTAGCTATTTAAAAACTACTTCAAGGATATAAGTTTGCTTTGGATTTTAATTGTTTTTCTTTTTTTCTTTACCACTCCTTCCTCTTCTCTCTCTTTTATATTGAAAAGGTTTAGACGAATTCTGTTAACTAGATTTTTGATATACAAAACGCGAAATGAAAAAAGGGATCACCTTGGATAACTTTTGATCTAATGATCGGATCTTCGCGTTCTAGGACTTATTCTTAATGGTTCGCGGGGGTGACCTCATATATGCTAATTAATAAGTGCAGACGATATTTTAAGTTACGAAATCAGGCAAAAAAACGTACTTTCTCTGAATAAACGCAATTATTTTCAACGGATTCAGATTTTGACATCCAAAATGTAGAGGATAGTCGCAATTGGCCCATACAGTACTATAGTTTGGTCTGGACTCGAAGAAATTGTACCCCTTAACGTCAATTATACTTTTTTGGAATATAATTTTACATGGCAAAATACAAAATGTGAGCAAAATTGGATAAATAGTTCCTGAGATATTAAATTTCAAAAAAGTCTGAAATTTAAAATTAAATTTCTCAGAACTCATCATCATAGTTGGCCAGACAGCCCAATGTGGGCCAATGCCTCCTTTCCTTTACATTAATTGCAAGAAATGCAGACTCCACCGAGTCAGCCCATCTCAACCGCGGCCTTCTCCGCTTTCTTGTTCCAGTGGGTCTAAAAGGCAGTATTTTTTTCAGAAACTATTCAACCGATTTTGCTCAAATTTCGTATTTTGCCTTGAAAAATACAAAAAAAAAGAAAAAAAAAGATTATATTTTTAAAGTGATATAAAAATTTATTATTATTATTACCGAATTATATTGTATTATTATTATATTATATTATTATTATATCATTTTATTATTATATTATATTATTNTAGGTTGCCATAGATTACCATAGGCTTCTCTATGGCAAATTTTCCTAAGGGATATTATATATTATATTATATAATATTATTATTATTATATTATATTACATTATTATTATATTATATTATTATTAATATTGCCTGGAAACTCAAAATTTATTAGACCATTATTAAATAAAATAATAAAAAATAATAAATATTTACTAAAAGTAAATTTTTGCATGCAATTATGTTTGGATAAACGAATTTCATAGTTGTGTGTAAAAAAATTGCAATTCGCTTAAAGAGTTCTCGATTCGAAATATAGCCAAATACGCAAAAAATAAACCTTTGGAGGTCTAACCTTTGGAGCGTTCTTCTGACTAAACTATTAGAACCATATTTTCAGATTGTGGTTACCGGATACCCCCTATATTTTGGGGGTCAGTAATCCGAATCAGTCAAAAAAAGGTATATTTATTCAACGAAAGTACGTTTGAATGTCTGATTTCGTAATTTAAAATATCGTCTGCACATATTAATTAGCATATATGAA